CCCCCAGATGTCTTGGGGTAAGGGAGACGTCCAAGGCTTATGAGAATCGCATGACTCTACCCAACTAGATACCCAGACATATCCTCACGCCTTCTCACCTAGAATCATTTCCACCAACTTTTCCTTTTCAGAGCTTTTCCGCACTAGATCCCAGAACGCCCTATCATCCGCACCGTCCCCGGCGTCGTCGGGGCGCGGCTCCGAGCCTTGGCCGCTCTCCTCCTCCGCCGCCTGCATGCCCGCCCGCAGGATCTCCGCGGGCGTGCCCATCTGCGCTATCCGCCCGTCCTTCAGGACCAGGATCTTGTCAAAGTCGGCTACCGTGCTGAGCCGGTGTGCAATCACAAAGACGGTGCAACCCGCCGCCACGAAGTCCTCGCGCAGCGACTCTTGGATCGCTGCGTCCGTGCCCCGGTCCACCGCCGACGTCGCCTCGTCCAGCACCACAATCTTGGGCCGCGACAGCAGCGCCCTGGCCAGACACACGAGCTGCCGCTGGCCCTGGGAAAGGTTGGCACCGCCCGTCGATATCGACATGGAGAGGTCCTTGAACGCGTTGCCCACGCCCTCATCTCCTCCAGTGGTAGCCTCGGCCGGGGCGCTGCCGTCGGGTGACGGGACGAGCGGGTATGCCGATGGGCGAGATGCGTCGGGGCTCTCTGGCTTGACAAGATGAACACGCTGCAGGACCACCTGGAGCTGGTAGTCGTCCATCTCGCCCTCCATATCCAGGTTCGAACGTAATGTGCCCGAGAACAGGAACGGGTCCTGGGGGATGATGGCCAGCCTGCTCCGGAGCTGTGACAGCTTCAGCTTAGAAATATCGACATTGTCGATGCGGACCGAGCCTCCCCGCGGCTCCAGCAGCCGGAACAGCACCGATGCCAAGGTCGATTTGCCGGCTCCGGTCCTTCCTACAATCCCGATCCGCTCACCGGACTCGACGGTAAACGTCAGGTCCTTGAGCACAGGCGGGAGCTCCTCCTTGTACGCAACCGTGAGGTTTTCCACCTCGATCCGCCCCTCGGTTGGCCAAGCCGCCGGCGCGTCCTCGCCGTCTTGGGGCTCCGTCTTCAGATCACAGTACTCCAACACCCTCTCGGTCGCATTGAAGCCGAGCTCGATAGAGGCCATATTCTGCAGGAGCCCGGTCAGGGCACTCGTGTAGCTTAGAGCGAAGGTCAGGCTGAAGCCGGCGAGCGCCGCATCGACGTGGCCCAATGCCACAGCTGCGGCCACCGTCGTGACAAAGAATACACCTAGCACTCCCATCCGGAACGCCATCCATCGTTGGGAAAGCGACAGCGCCCAGCTCGTTTTGGCGGCCGTGTCGATTAGGTTGTGCATGCGATTCGTGTAGAAGTCGGTCCTGCCAAAGGCTCGGACGGTAGAGAGACCGGTCAAGACGGAGGAAAACTGGTCATAGATGGGCGACCAGACCACCGAGTTGAGCCTCTTGACCTCGCGCGCCGCCGAGATGTACTCCATCGCAATCCTTGCGTAGAGTGCCAGCAAAACCAGACCAAACATGTTGACATATTTGGAGACAGACAAGCTGAGTTGTGCATGGCCAGGCAGTTAGTTAGCACTTCAGTGCAAGAATCCCGAGGTTTGATGTGGTGATGCGTACCTTGTCGCGATGATGGTGACCACGGTGAGCACAGACGTAAGTGAAGACCCCAGATCTGCCGCCACCCTACGGTCGACAGTGAAAATATCCGAGGTAAACCTGTTGAGAATGCGGCCCGAGGGCACCGTGTCGATCCACTTGAGAGGTGCCCTGAGGATGGCGTGGGTCATGCGGCGGAACAGAACCCTCGCTGTTCTCAGCCCAATCGCCGTGAAGACGAGCAGCCTCCCGATGCCGCAGAGCACGGCAGCCAGCTCGAGGACGATGTAGGCCCCGATCCAGAAGGCAACCGAACGATGGCCACCCGCCTGCTGCTGCTGCTGTTGCTGGAAGACCGGAGTGTACATGATGGGGTTCTGAACGTACACCTGCCCGTGGCCGGACCCGTGGGCATAGCCTCCGCCACTGACGTTTCCAGCCCCAAGGCTGGCCGCAGAGGCGCTGGGCTCGCTGCTGGAAAGCTCCTTGAGCGACCAGGTTCTGCCAACGAGTATGACTCTGCCGGAAAATATCAGCAGCAGGGCTCCGAGCCAGAGTATGACGGTGTTGCTTGCCGAGAGGTAACCCTTGTAGACTGTCCATTTTACCCTCCCCTTCTCGCGCCCCTCCTCGTCTTCCTTCTTCTTGTTCTTTTGCTTATCGGACTTCTTGTCCTGCTGCTCGCCATCGCTGTCTTCTGGCGTAGTCAGCGCCGAGACACTTTGGTGGTCCGAGACTGTCATCCCGTCACTGCTGCTCAGGCCCGTAACGTGCGAGGACGCGTCGCTCTTGAGAACGGGGGTAGGTTTGGTGGGCGTCGCCGCCAGCGTTTCGGCGCTCTCCAGGCGCCCCTCGTGGAGGCGGACCAGATAGCTGGCGATGGGCAAGCACAGCTCGGCGTGGTGGGTGGCCAGAATACGGGTGCGGCCGTTTGCCAGCTCGCCAGCAAGGGCCTGATCGACAATGATTTTGCCGACGTGGGCGTCCACAGCGCTGAGCACATCATCAAGAACAAGTATCCCGGCCCGCGAGTAAAGAGCTCGTGCAAGAGCCACTCGCCACCGCTGCCCGCCGCTCAATGTGACGCCCTTGGGTCCGACCTCGGTCCCGTCTCCATTTACCAAGAGAGCCATGTCCTTTTCCAGCGCACAAGCAGCCAGGACCTTTGCGTACCGTGTGGCATTCAGCGGGAGCCCAAACAGAATGTTGTCTCGTACGGTACCGGTCTCGATCCAGGGTGTTTGCGGCACAAACGCTGTGAGTTCCGGGATGATCCAGTCGCTATCGGCAATGTGCTCCAAGTTTTCAATCGACTGCTGGGCGGGTGGTGTGCGGACCTTGCCCGAGATGAGGGTGACTTCTCCCAGTATCGCGGCCAGCAAAAGACTCTTGCCCGAGCCCGTATTGCCCGTGATTATGCTCAGCCCTTGGGAAGGAAAGTCCAGAGTGACGTCTCTGAGCACCGACCTAGCCTCCAGAGGCTCTGCACCTTCTCCCTCCACCTCCTCGAACTTGGGCCAAGCAAAGGTCGCGCTTTCAAAGGCGATGTGGTCGTGGGCGGTGGAGATGGGCTCCTTTTCAGGCTGGCCGAGAAACTTCTCGATCCGTACACAGCTTGTCCACGCCTCCATGATGTAGACCTGAATCAGGGGAAGGTATTGGATTGCCTCGTCTAGCTGGTCGAATAGGCCGAGCGAGGCGAAGATGACCGATGCCCTGATGCCACCCTCGGTGGTGAAGGCGTAGACGGCAAGTGTGACAGACGAAAGCAGGAGCGGCCCGAGGTTGAGGACCAGGGCCGTGAGGCTCATCCATAGGTTGACAATCCAGAACTGGGCCAGTTCTTCCTCGCGGCTCTTGAGGATTTTGTCCTCCCAGTGCTGCTCGAGTGCCGAGAACTTGATTTGGCGCATTCCCTGAAGAGCCTCGGTGAGCAGGTGGGCCTTGCCGTCACGATACTTCATGAGGCCAAACTGGATCTTGGCGTATCTCTTGGAGAGTAGATGGCTGATGGGGAGAACGAGAAGGGATGATAGAAGGCCGGCCGCGAGGCTCTTGAAGCCGACCAGCTGTGCCAGAAACGTTCCCGAGAGAGCAAGCTTGAATACTATCCAAGCACACAAGTCAGCGAGTGTTTGCATAGAATCTCAGCAGCAGGCGCGTTTTAGAGGTAGACCTACACGCTACAGGGAACATGTACCCCCAGGAAGCCGCCATGACGGTTCTGCTGCTGCTACTAGAAGTTAGCGTGATCCAGTTCTCGCTGACGCCGTGGGCACCTTCGGTGGCAAAATGGTGTGTCTGCCACGCAGGCGGTGGGAGGAACATCAAACATACTCTAACTTCATGTGATTGACGATGGAGGTTCGGGTGTCTACCGAGCTGGACTTGCTGTCGCTGTTGCCTGTGCCATCGGTGGAGGGCTTGGAAGGCGGAGACGCCGTCTCTTTCAGGCGTAGGGCTTTCTTAAATACCATGGACTGAAGCAGAGACAGTACGGGAGACTCGAGGCGAGAGGAGGTTAGCCAGCGCATGACGCTGTTGACCCATACTTGAAGCAGCAGGCTCGCGCACAAACACAGCACCCAGGCGAAGAGGATGGGGTCTGTGCCGCCCGTGATGGTACTAGGCTTGTCCAGGATCTCGAGGAAGTTGTACAGGACATATTGTGGCACAAGCGCGAGGGAGCTAATGACGAAGCTGATGGCCCACTGCTGGCCCAGCCTCTGCCAGTGTGCGACGATGAGCTGGCGCCAGAGCCTTCCCGTGAGTTGGCGAGCTAGGAACTTGGAGCTGAGGTTCGCGGATCTCCTGGTGTGATCGAGGTCAGGAAGGTCGGCCTTTTCCAACTGCCGCTCCTTGGCGACCCTGAAGACGGTCTTGTTCCACGAGTACGACATTCTCTGGATGATGGAAGCCGTGTGCTGTTGGTCTACGAGGTGGCCTTCGTGATAGACGTCCGGGCGCTGCCGAAAAGAGGCGAACGAAAGCACGGCTCCGAGTGCCGCGATTATTTGCACAAGCCAGCACACACCCAGGACCACACTCCCAAGGGGCGTCGACTTCCGAACCTGGGCAGCCATGTGCAGAACCGGGGCGCCAAACCGGGCCAGGAGAGAGGCGAGAAGAACGGCAGATGCTCCCAAGGAGTAGAGAACCAGCCTGTACCTCGTCTGGTACTGGTGTTTGAGGGGGAGGCTCGCACACTGCACGCAGAGGAAGGTCTTGGTTCGTGAAGAGAGGTGTTAGCCATTGTCTAGTAATATCAGTGGCAGCAGGGTCTTGGAGGTAATCACCCAAGAAATAGCGTCAGCCAAGAGGGCGAGCATCCCAAAACTAGAATGGGGAACTCCGGACCGGCCGGCAAGCAAAACGGCGGCAGCGATCGCAGAGCCCAAGCCAACGGCGCTGCTGGCCCAGGCGGAGACTCCGGGGTACGCATCGGAAAAGTCTTTCATGGACTGCTCGGTGGCTTTGCCATCCCGGTCCTCGTACAAGTACACCGGCGGCGCGGCCTCGGAAGAAGCGTCGACCGAGTCGGGGGCCGAAGGCTGCCGACGGCGGTTGGCAACGTGCTTGATGGCGGGCGCGCTGAGCCCAACAACAAGGCCGAGGCCGGCGGCCGCTATCAGGGGCCCGAAGTGGCCCGGGCTGTCCATTGCGGCGGGTCCGGCGTTTATGGTGCTGCTGCCTGGGGAAGCATACAGGACAGCAGCAGCCGAGAGACCCGAGGCAGGCAGGCTATAGCCGAGTCCACAGTGGGCTTACAACGGCCAGTGGAGGGCAGCACGACTGAGACGCGGTGTCAACAGCCCGGTTTTCTGAGTTGGCCCAAGCCAAAGATGATTGCGAGAGAGGCAAGGATCAATTTATAACAAGAGCGGCGACGGGTAAGGTCGGGAGCGGTGAGGGTGACGACGGGAAGACTAGGGTCAAAGACAATAGACAAGGCAAGCTTCCGTTTCCTACAAGCCGAGATGCGCGCCTGCGAGAGATTGTGATGCAGGGGGGCGGAAGCCAGTGTCCGGGATCCTGGTCGCTTTTTTTTTTATCGGGGCGCGGGCCGTGCTGCTTGCTGCTTGCTGCTTTTAGAGATCTGCAGTAGCACTCTGACCGTTTTTGTCAGACACGGTCACAACCTCAAGCCAGGGCTAGCAGCACAACGGGCGGACACTGACCTGGATACAAGATGAAGAGCGAGCCGATGGATATTGAGGCAAAAGATACCAGTAGAAGTCGAGCCCACCACGGATTACAAATGCATCAACGGTCATGGTGCCTGGCGAGCAACAGCGTCAAGTTTGCAGCCCAATCTCGGCCACGGCTGCCTGGAAAAACTTGAGCCTCCTCGATTACTCCAGTCCAAAGGCAGCCTAACCCCGAGCACTACGCTATGGGCGGTACAGTAGTGGTACAGTAGCCGCCTGGCCGCACTAAGCCCGGGCCCACCAATAGCAGCACCAAGGCGCATCCCAAGCCGCCATGCTTGCAGCCTGGTCCATCCATCCGCGCCAACCGCCAAACACGGCAGCGCGACTCATTGCCGGCCCAGGAACCCCTTTGGCCGACCATCAAGGTGCCCGTCTCAGTGCCCGTCCCCGTCCTCCTGGTGGCCTAGGAGGTCTGCCGCCATGCTCCGATGATCGGGGACGGCACCAGCTCCCGTCCCCTCGAGCCTTGAGGGATTATCCGTCCCTTGCGTGAAGAATGTCCCAGCACTCGTCTTACGTGGTGTGCGTACGAGATTATGTGCTTACATGTCCCGCAGAGTAACCATCACGCGGCCTGGGTCTCGCAACCACCACAGCGTGGTCGGTCATGCTCAATCACAGCAGTGCGCTGTCCAGGCCAGCGGCGGCGTGCGACACTTCATGCGCTGCCAGCTCAACAAACTCACTATCCATCCGAACAAAGTTCCGACGCGACACGCGAGGAAGTCACCCGGTTTTGATGGTGGGGATCGCGCTGGATATAAAGACCCCCGAGTGCGACTAGAAACTTTGAGTCGCCATCGAGTGTGTCTACCCGCTCATCGGTATGCGTGCAATATCTGTCGCTTCGACCTGTCTCTCCCTGTCTCCTTTCCTTCTGTCTCGGTTCTGCGAGTATCAAGTGGCATTTTGACTAGAATCAAATTTACTCCCCAGAGTGCTTGTGTTCAACCTACATCAAGAGCACATGTTTCAGCCCTACCAGCATGGGGTTGACAGGAGCTCATCTTTAGTGTGTGCAGTTGTGCCAGTACCATAAAATAGTACAAGGGGTGCTGTTACCCAAAGTTACCCAAAGCCTACGCATTGTACGGTAGCCGTTATCTTTTCCACATGATCTCGATCCAATAGAATAATCCAGGAAATGAATGACTCCAACGCGAACTGGCATTGAAGCCTACACAATACGGATGGGAAGCATAGGCACTGATGATGGTGGTGTCTGGACGATCGATCACATGGTAAAATCGCGGGGAAAAGTTTATAGTGACTACATGGGAAGGAAAAGGAACCAGGGGTGGGAGTCACACCTTGCTAGGCACCTGTTTATAACCGAATAGGCGGCTGCTCCCTGACTGGGTAGGGTGTGTGGGAGCAGGCGAGGGTATCACGACACCATACATCGTCCGACCGAAAATTCTCGTTAGTCAGCGACGAAGCCGGTATCAAAAGTGGCAATGACATGCGGCGACAGCTTCCCATCGAAGAATAGAGGACTGGATTCGTGCTACTATCTGGTAGGCACCTAGGACCCGCCCTATGTGTTTACATCAGAGGGGTCCTGCATGATAAATCCCCAAACACCCAAACCTTGGAGGAACCTCAAGCCGCCCATTGTTGGAGAGATACCTCTGTGTACGCCACAGGTTGAGTGGCGCATCGGGGACCATAGCATAGCAAGCGAAGAGAGACTGGCACACAGGCGAGCGATTGGCTAGGGTGAGTATGTGATCAGGTTTCTAGGAAGAAAAACAAGACTTGTACACACCCGGATGCAATTAGAATAGCTTCCAAGGGTATTGACACAATGTAGCTGGCAGTAACCTCACCCATCAACGAGGGCGCGCTATAAAATCCGAAAGGAGGGGCCGAGGTTGGGCAGTTTGGGCAGTTTGGGCAGGCGACAGCCACACGGCCACCCACCACCCACCACCCACCACCCACTGCACGCTGTGGATCGCACGTGACCACGGGGCGGATCAAGAGCCATCGAACCAGCTGCGCTGCCAGCCAATCGAGTGGGCTGGATTGAAAGTCATGGCGTGCTCCCCTCGGGAAATCTCGACTGGTGCAAAACCTCCCGATCCTCACGACCCATTGGCAACCAATTGCCCAGCCCAACCGCCCGATTTCCCTTTCAAAGCCGAGCAGCAGTCTTCCTCAAGATGTTGGCGGCGAGGTGCCTGCGCTCGGCCCCGACGCGAGCCTTCCCGCGGAATGGCGCGCTCAACACTGTCAAGGTGCGAGACAGTCCCGACTTCTTCCGCCCGCCCGAGGGGACGTCGGCACCATGGCCATCGCCCGACCCCCGGCGCCGCTCCGTCCTCGGGCGCCAGTCCTCAGGAACACCTCGCCGGTGCCCACCGAGCCTGCAGGCCAGTCAGTGCTGACACACATCTCTGCCGTAGCGGTCCATCTCGTCATCAAGCTCTGGCGCTGCCGAAGCTTCTCCACGCAACCTCAACATCGCCGCCGTGGCCTCTACCGCCGTCGCAGTTGGCTCGGCGGCATGGTACTACCACCTCTACGGCACCACAGCCCATGCCATGACTCCGGCTGAGGAAGGGTATGTGAACCCTGGAGCATCCAGCGTCTCGATCGACTCGGCCTTGGCACCAACGCTGTCGGGCTGCGGCATATATCGCTGGCAACACCTTCTACCTAGCCTGGCCCGAAACACCACAACTGACCTTCCTTGCCTTGGACAGTCTCCATCCTACCAAATACCCGTGGGTCCACGAGCAATGGTTCAAGACCTTTGACCACCAAGCGTAAGGTGTCCCCAATGCCCGAGGCACAGTATTGGCTGTGGCCGAGCCTTTGGATCTGTAGAAGCACAACGCAACTCTAACTCGCCGGGACTGGTTGTGAATGATAGCCTCCGCCGAGGATTCCAGGTCTACCGCGAGGTTTGCGCCTCGTGCCACTCGCTCAGCAGAGTCCCTTACCGTTCTCTTGTCGGTACCATCTTGACTGTGGACGAGGCCAAGGCGCTGGCCGAGGAGAACGAGTACGACACGGAGCCCAACGACCAGGGCGAGATCGAGAAGCGCCCTGGAAAGTTGTCGGACTACCTGCCGGCGCCTTACCCCAATGATGAGGCGGCACGGTTTTCCAACAACGGCGCCCTGCCCCCGGATCTGAGCCTGATCATCAAGGCGCGTCACGGAGGTTGTGACTACGTCTTCTCGCTGCTGACGGGCTACCCCGAGGAGCCGCCGGCGGGCGCCCAGGTTGGCGATGGCCTCAACTTCAACCCCTACTTCCCCGGCACCGGCATCGCCATGGCCCGTGTGCTCTACGACGACCTAGTCGAGTACGAGGACGAGACGCCGGCGAGCGCGTCGCAGATGGCCAAGGACGTCGTCGAGTTTCTCAACTGGGCTGCCGAGCCCGAGATGGACGACCGCAAGCGCATGGGCTTCAAGGTCCTGGTTGTCACGTCGGCCCTCTTCGCAATGAGTGTCTGGGTCAAACGCTACAAGTGGGCCTACATGAAGACAAGGAAGATCACCTACGACCCTCCGAAGGCTGCGGGTGAGGAGACTATTCGCCGTTAATCTCACGCAAAATGGTGGAAAAGAAGCAGCGCTCGGGATGTGAGGGTTGCACCTGCGCGGAGCCTGGTCTTTTGTATGTTATATGGCGGTACTTTCATGTCTTATTCCGTCAGGGATGAATGAAAGCAGAAATTCGGCGGGGCCAGGCGTAGAGGGTACCAAACTCTTTCCTCTAGTCTCTTACGGATCTTCACAATACACTGGTAGATTTCTTTACGGTCAACACTATTTTGGCTTTCTCCTGTGCCTGGTCGGGAAAAGGTGTGAATCTCCGAAAGGGTGTCTTGGTCGGTCTCGGAAAAGTCTAAAGCGTCCTGCTCTTTTTTTTTCCTGCTATATAAACGGCGAATGCTTGCGGGATTGGGGCTTCCTTAGGTGCAGCAGCTCAAGCCTGGGCGCTAATTCACTGTCAAATCGCCGAGCAAAACTCGAGCAGCCTATTGAATTATACCGGGCTCCACAAGAACTTTATCATCTTCTCGTCTCTCTGCCACACCAAGGTTCCCTACAACCCCCAACGACACTCTTCGCGGATTATTATAATCGCGAGGAGTCGCAAAAGCCAGATAGTAAGCAAAACACAACGGACAGGATGGGAAAGGGAAAGCGCCAGAGGGAGGACGTGGTATCGCCGTCGTCAGCGGCCCCCCGATGCGCCTCAGGCCCGCCTCGGCTCACCAGCAAGGCGGCGCGCAACCTCCTGCACGGGTTCGACGTCGACGGTGACGAGTCCATGGAGTTCCTGACGTCGCTGATCGCGTCCGAGACGGCGCCCCGCGGGGCCGTCGACGAGCTCTACGGCACCGGCCTGATGGCGGCCGCCGAGGACTGGGATCTCATGCTGTGGTGCGCCGTCGCCATGAATAAGCAGCAGCAGCTGCTGCTGCGAGGGGACTTTTGCCGCGGCATCGGCGACGACCGGCTGCTGCAGGGGAACAGCAACATACACCTCTTTGCGTGCCTGGACGGGCTCCTCGGTGGAGAGCCGAGCTGCCTGCCGGAGGGTTCGCCGATCGTCGTGAAAAAGGAGGCGCAAAGGAACTGGAAGCCGAGGGGATCACGAACAATAAAGCAAAATGATCCAGCACAGTCGCCCTACTGGACCGACGAACCGCAGCCCGTGGCCGAACCGCAGCCCATGGCCGAACCGCAGCCCAAGAGGATCAAGGTCGAGATCAAGCGCGAGTTCGGCAAGCCCGATGCCGCGCCTGACGGCAGCCCCAACGACACTGCACCATCTGAGCCACCACAGGAGGCCACGAAAGAGAGCGACCTGAACCGAAACAAGCCAGCCTCGCCATCGAAGTCGCCACCACCACCACCGCCGCCAACTACTCCCAGCGCCAAGAAGCGGGGAACGACATCTCGACACTTTTGCGGCAGCAGCCCGACACTAGCATCAGCAGCATCAGCACGGCCCGTCGTCGGTCAGCAGACCGTGCTGCTCCAGGGCGACTCCGCCCCGAAGCAAGGCATCACCCCGCGCCCACCAGGGGGGGCGGTGTCGGGCCTCCCGTTCCCGCCGCTCACGGCGGCGCGATTCGGGCTGATACAGGAAGAGGTCGCGCACGACCCGTTCCGGCTCCTGGTGGCGGTGCGGCTGCTGGTCAAGACGGCCGGGCGCGCCGCCATACCCGTCTTTAGGGCGCTGTCGGACCGGTACCCGGCGGGCGCCGCTGACGTGGCGGCCGCCGACCCGGACGAGCTGCTGGGAATGATCCGCCACCTCGGCCTGGGCACCGTCCGGCGCCGGGCCATACTGCGGCTCGCGCGCGCGTGGCTGCGCGACCCGCCGTCGAGGGGCGTGCGGTACGGCGTCAAGAACTACCCGCGGCGCGGGGACGGTGCGGACGTGAGGCTGGGTGAGAGGTTCGGGCCCGAGTATGATGAGCACGATGAAGGGGATGGCGATGGCGATGACGACGGAGATGGCGAAGCGGCAGCTAGCCGCGGCGCGGGCTCGGCGTGGGAGATTGGGCACATGACGCAGGGCCCGTACGCGCTCGACTCGTGGCGCATCTTCTGCCGCGACGAGCTCCTGGGTCGGGCGGCGGGCAAGGAGGAAGAGGAGAAGAGTTGTTCGTCGTTCCAGCCCGAGTGGATGCGCGTGCGGCCGGCGGACAAGGAGCTGCGCGCCTACCTGCGCTGGATGTGGATGCGCGAGGGCTGGGACTGGGACCCCGACACGGGCGAGCGCGAGGTGCTGGCCGAGGAGCTGAGGAGGGCCGTGGACGAGGGGCGGGTCGGGTACGACGACCTCGGGCGGCTTCGTATTGTTTCATGAGTTTTTTTTCTTCTTTGCTCAAGCTGTCTCTCGCCTGCCTTGGGGTCTGGTCACGAGCCTAACCTTTCTCTCCATGGCGTGCGTGGTCTCGAGACAGTGCTTGCCGCTATTGCGTCGCACCGAATTTGGGCTTGGAGACACAACCCCTTTTTGTGTCGGCAAACCAACCTTTTTGTCTTTTTAGAGTAGCGTCTCTAGCGAATGATAGCGACTCTTGCTCGGTAAGAATACGCCGACGTGGTTGAGCTCGTGTGTTTCCAACTCTATCCCTCGTGGACAAGCTCCCGTCGGGATGCAGAAGGTGCGACCCTGGAGTCGAGGCTCTAAGACAGGCGGGATCGATGCAAGCTGAAGCGAAGTGGGCATGACCCCGTCCCGTCTGACGGGAAGAGAATATGCACTTATTCACCTCCGCTCTTCCTCGTCTTGTAAGATCATCACGTTGCCCATCTCACTCACTCTCGATATCCATTCACCTGCGATCCCTCCAGCCATCGCCCCCAGCACCCAGACAAGGCCACCGCTTACACACCTTCATCATTCCACGAACCTAGGCACCCACCCAGAGGCACCCAATAGTCCATCAGAACACTACAATACCTCAAACATCGTTACCAACACCACGGCAGGGCCAACGAAGCATGCGCCTCGACTCGCAATCCAAGCCCGCCCCCGCCCTGCTGGCCGCCGCCGCGGCTAGCCTGCCCGTCCTCCTCTGCCGCGCCCAGGGCATCAGCGAGAGCTGCACCCTAGCCGGCGCCATCTTCGCCCAGGACAAGTTCCTCGGTGCCTACTGCACCAACGACAGGAAGGAGATACATGGCTACGATTGGACCTGGTATAATTTTACCTGTTATTGTTAAAACTCTCCTCTTTTTCCTCCTCCTTTTTTCCCTTTTTTTTCCTCCTCCTTTTCCTTTACTCTTCTTCTCCTTCTCCCCCCCCCCCCCCCCCACGGGGCCCCGAAATCAGCAGTCCAGCAAAAAGTTCCAAGCGCCCGCGTGGAGCAGCGGCTCTAACTAGTGATCCTCCCGAGGGGACGACAGGATCGACCTTGACTGGTGCATTAGAAACGACCAGGGAGTCCTCAAGTTCACCGAGAAGTACGCCACGAAATCCTCACCACTGCCAGCCCCAGATCTCCACGCCTTTGCTGACCGGAACACAACAAAGTGGTCGCTTCTCCGGCTCCTGCTCGCGGTGCGAGTTTGACCTCAGGTCATCCCGCGGGTCTTTCAGCTGCCGGTGCGTCGACGGGTCGGGAAAGCTCCGCGAGAGAAGTACCGTCCAGCTAGGTAGGTCTTCCTGCGCATGTCGGGACAATCTAATAATATCTAGGCTTCAAGCCTACAAGCAGCACAAACGCTGACACTTGCCCTCTTCCCTTCTTGCCTCGACTTGTTCAAACCCGCAACAGACTCGCAGCTTTGGAACCGAAACGGATCTCTGGGCTGCTACGATCGCAGCGGCAATAAAACCAGGGCGGGTCCTCAATGCAAAAGTTGCACACAATAGCCAAGTCATCGGTGTTTCGAGCCAGGAACGCCCCCATGGAGGATGCACAGAGCGCCATCGTGGAAAGTCACTTGGAACTTGCAATTGGTTGGGTGGCACCGTGGCTCAATACCAGCCTGTCTTGTCTTTTCCCGAAAGCCAGTATGCCTCGCTTTTCCCATTCCTTCCCCTTTTGGTACCCGTAAACCTGGGCTGTCAAATCCCAATGATGGCTCGTGTCTTACGAGGTAGGACGTAGTAGTCTAGGCCGGATCTACGCCCATGTCTCGTCTATCTAGCCAATAAACTCGGTGGTAATCAACGCTCCCCAAGGTAACCCCGTCTCCCATGACCTTTCCATCAACTCTCGAGCTCTCCGGACCTAAAGTTTTGCGACACACTCTCGTGTCAGCCATAGTCGCACAGTTGGATTCCAAGACGGCGGCGTTGACTTGGTAAAGAGGGGGGACGAGTTTGGGCGGAAAGAGTTGCCAGCCAAGTCGCGGCAGTGTCACCCGACTCACCTGCACCATTCCCGTATTCTCAACCACCCGCAGCCTCTCCTTGATCAGGCTGCGCTGCGACGCGTCCGGCGTGAGGCATCCCGCCGTGAACATGGGGAACACCATACAGGCCTCGGCGGTGCCTCCCCGCCGTATCTCGGCCAGGCACTCGACGATGCTCGCCACGCCGGCCCGGACGTCCGGGTGCGACGCCGGCTTGCCCAGCACGCGCCGGTGCAGGTGCAGCGACCCCGCCCAGTGGTACGCCCTGTTGCAGGCCGCCAGCTCGGCGCCGTTCCAGCAGAGCGCGTCCTCGGTGCCCTTGACGTGCGGGCACGGCCGCGGCGGCAGCTCGATGCTCCGCGCCAGGTCGTGCTGCAGCGCCTCGGCCCTCTCCAGGACGACGGGCCCGGGCGTCCATTCCCGCGATCCGCGCGACTCGTCCTTCTCCTGTTCCTTGAGAGCCAGGCGCCGCGCGCTCGCGCAGCGCCTTGCGAGCTCCGCGATCTTGGCCAGTATGTAGACGCACGACGTCGAGAAGCCCATGATGCAGTCGATCTCGTCGTCGTCCTCGGGCGCGTAGACCTTGTAGTCTAGGATCCAGGCACTCGACACGTCGCGCTCGCCGCCGCCGCTGAGGCTGCCCAGGACGTCGAGGTAGGCGAACCAGCTCCAGAGGAAGTTACAGACCTGAATCTCCTCGTGCTCTGCCGACGATGACCCGCCGCTGGCCAAGGCCACAGACCGACTCCAGCGTAGCCCTCCTGGTCGCGCCGATATGAGCTCGCGCGCCAGTGAGAGGTGTCGTTGCCACGAGATGGAGTAGCCGAAAGCCGTCGGCGAGATGATCTCGAGCGATGCCAGCATGATGGCCGTTGCCACATTGGTATTGGAAATGCTCTGGTTGGGATCACTCAGGGCAGCACGTAGGGCTGGGAAGATGTCCTGCACCCAGAGTGCAATGCGTGTCACCGGCTCCGGCTGTTGGAGAAGTCTGGCTCGATGTGATGCTGTAAAGAAAACAGTGTAAGCTCGCTCAGCTCGGCCCGAATGGGACTGAACCGACAGGACCTACCAGAATAGGCTAGCATGAGGCTCAGCAGGTGATCATTTCGCACGGCGAGCTGAGGCAGTATTGTTCTAAAGGGGTTCGATTGAGGCCCATCGAAAGGCACGAGAACTATGCGAGATGGAAAACCGTCAGTCAAGCCGCGAAGAGTTGGTGAGAGGTAGCGGCCGTTGAAACCGCAGCGAGCGCTGTCCTTACCCTTGGCTGTGTGGTTGAGGAAGTGATGCTATTGGCAGTTAGTATTCCGGAGTGGTGAAGAGAAGGTGTGCTAGAGACTTTTCGTACAAAATACTGTAAACATGACGAGTTAGCTATATATATACACAACAGAGCTATCGTAGAAGACGACACCACGAGGGGTCTTCATATTGAAAGTAGGGGGCAGGTATCCAGGGATGAAGCAGTAATCACCAGTAAATTCATGGGATTATTGAGTAACCTAGAGGGAAAACAAAAAGGTTAGCCTTCTTCAACTAGTTCTTCTCCGGCTTGACGGCAGCTCAACGCTTACTTTGACGGCAGAGGCTCGAATTTCCGTGGTATCCGGACGATGACAGGGGTTTCGTAGTAAGAGCCCCCCAGCTCACGACGCACGCTCAGCCCATGCACTCCAGAAGCGCAATCGTCCCCATCGCCATGGTCATGGAGCAGGCTGCTGATGTCGCCCATGTCGTAGGGGAAGGACCCGCCGCTGGGGGCGGGGACCATGTCCGAGATGGCGTTGACGTCGTCGTTCTTCCCGACGTCCAGATCCACAAAGCCCCTGTCGATGCCGTAGCACGTGCACGAGTCGTCGGAGCCGGCCTGGATGGCGAACAGCAGCTTGGCGCCCGGCGGGCGGAGGACGTCCATGGGCACGTGGAGCGGGTTCATGAGGCCCGGGGGGCCCGTGAGAAGCGACTTGACCGACAGGCGGCGGACCTCCCCCGCCGAGCTAGAGTGCAGGACCTCGGTGGAGGGCGACGGCGGCGGGGCAGCATCCATCAGTGACGTCAAGGTATGGCCCAGGGCGGCGCCTGCAGCCCCCAGACCAAGGAGAGGGTGTGGCATCAACGGCGACGACCTGGCGCTCGCAAAGTTATCGGCTGTCGATGTCGATGATATCGAGGTAGCCGACTGAGGGGACAGCACATCTAGGGTGTGACGTGAGCGCTTGCGGGGACGGTCCCACTCGGAGCTGACGGCTTCGGCGTCGGGGCCGGGTGCAGCGCGAGATGCGCGGCGCGGCGGAACCGAGGCCGAGGCCGAGGCGGCCAGGTCCGTGTCAAACACAACGGGAACATTCCGGCTCGCCGAACTCTGGCCAGAGGCGCTCTGGCCAGAGGCCTCATTCAGGACGTCGCTGTCGAACCGGAAGGTCTGCTTCCCCGACTGGGCTGTCTTGCGGCCCTCCCAGTTGAGCCGTATGCTGTAATCGCACTCGACGAGGCGTTTTTGGCAGCTAGCCGAGAAGAGGCGCAAGGGAGAGAAGGGAGTCAGCCCAATGCTACAGGCTATCGCTTGCTAAAAAAATACAAACCCGCTAAGCACATACTTTGAACAGGTGGGCCGCTCTTGAGTGCAGGCAATGCGACGCTGTTTACAACCCCAGCAGCCGTTACGGCTCCGACGCTTCGGCTCCGGGGCCCCGGGCTTGCGCGGGCGCGGCATGGCGGGCGCTCGAAGACGGCAGGTGGCGGCGTTGGGTGTTTAGCCGACAGAAGCGGGGCGAGGGTAGCATCAAAACTCGCAGACGGCGGTTGGCCAAGTCGCCGGGCCTCCGACTGGGAGTGTCTGCCGTACCGTCCTGACCCCACAGGACAAGCCGCTTAGGGTGGTGGTGACGTCTGGTGGTGCGTATGCAGCTGCTCAGCAGGCAGGTAGCTACCTACCTACCTAGGTGCAAGGTATGTATCCGTATCTGCGCGGTGTCGGTGGATGCCTGCGACCGGGTTCTGCGTCTACTTGACAGGGCCGGCCAGGGGTGGTGGTGTTGCCGGAGGCGGTGGTACTGGTGCTGCTCTGCGGGCTGGGGTTGAACCATCTGCGGGCGGCTGCATTCTCCTGCCTACCATCGAAGTTGTGAGTTGACCAAGGCGTCGGGGGCGGAAAGGAGGTTGCTATTGGGTTGGAAAGAGACAAAGAGCAAGCAACAGGCGGAAACGCGAGGGAGCGAAGGCACGGAGAAGAAAGAGGACAGAAGAGAAGGGATTGGCTGTTATCGCAATCCACGTTTGCTCTTTGCGGTGCCATCTTCAGTGAGCCCAGGAAGACCCTGGCTCCGGCTGGCGGCCACCCCCGCCTTGGATGCCGGAGCAAGCCGGTCAGCTGCTGTCTAGTGGCCGGGCCCAGGCTCTTTGGCCTCCAGGTTCCTCAGTCGGGGCGCCCCCAAGCTGTGGGGCTTGGGGCTAGCAGGAGCTGGGGACGCTGGGATCAATGGACGAGATAGGGCTGTCGCGATAAGCGAGCAACCATCACCTTGTGCTGTGCTACATGGCAGTCCACCAGCCCATCACACCTCGTACCGGAACCCGCCGGACCTCGGCAAGGCTCCAATTGACCGCGCGCAGCTATTGCAGGCAAGGAGAGGGAGGCTGTATATTTGCACACGCGAACTCTTCCAGCAGCAACGGGTATCTGGTTTGGTTTAATTTCGATATCGAAGCCTGTCGCGCGAACCTGCAACTTACTGAATGTCTATGTTCAGTATCTTGATCTCCTCCTCTGGTACTTCTTTGTACGTCCGCACGTTCTCGATCTTATGAATCACGTCGAACCCCTGCGTAGCCCTGCCAAATATTGTATGCTTGCCGTCCAGCCACGACTATTGAGACAGGCGCCCAGTATTAGTTGACAATATACACAACGTGAATTTGGGCAGGTAAAGGACAAGAACTTACAGTCTTCACTGTCGTGATAAAGAACTGGCTGCCGTTGGTGCACGGCCCGGCATTTGCCATGCTGACCGTGTAGGGCCTGTCGTGCTTCAGCGTGCTGAACTCGTCCTCAAACCCTCTACCCCAGATGCTCTCGCCTCCCGTGCCGTCCCCTAGCGGATCGCCGCACTGGATCATGAACTTGCGAATCACGCGGTGGAAGATGGTGTTGTTATAGTAGCCGCGCTTCGAGTGCGTCACGAAATTCTCCACAGCCTTGGGTGCCGCATCGGGGAACAGCCGGATGTGAATGTCGCCGTACGTCGTGTGGATCACAGCCGACGACCCCGTCTCGGCCTTCTTCTCCTGCGCCTTCTTGCCCCCGCCCAACACCGTCGGCTTCTCGTTCTGCACGTCACGCGTCGACTTGGAGATTTCCCCGTCGTTGGTGAACATGTAGAACCGTCCCTTGCCCGCCCCTGTGGCCACCAGGATAGGGTCCCGGACCTCGGACTCCTGCAACAGCGGGTTATTTGAAGCCGCCATTTCCACCGTCGTGACCCCTTTCTTCTGCGGTTGCCCCTGGTAGATGGCCAGGTTGAGGGCTCGGAAGTTCTCCTCCTTGCCGTAGACTTTTACCACTTGGTTCGCGTACGTGTTGAGGACCTTCACGCCCAAGATTGACCCGTACATGATGAAGTGGCCCGACTCGTCGAATATGACCTTGATCTTGTCTGACAGCGCTGGGGTGTCGAGCTCGCGCTCCTGCACCAGCCGCCGCCGGAACTCGCCCTCGTCTAGCTTCTGCAGTGCCGTGCCGGCTTGCTGCATCTCCTCGGCCGTCTGGATGGATTCGTCGTATGTTCGGTAGAGCTTCGCTGTGGCAAAGTCGAAGATCCGGATTTTGCGGTCTGGGATCGAGTAGGTCGCCATCCGCTGTCCCGTCGGCGATATCGTGAGCGACGTCGGGGCCGACTTGGCCTTTTTGAACTCAAAGAGGTTTGTGGCGCTCTTGTACTCAAAGACATTGTTCGGCTTCTCGTAGCGGCCGTGTGGCCTCCAGTATTCCACCATACCGCCCTCATCCGCCGAAACGACGCAATCGTAGGCGTCGTTGAACGCCATGACATTCACCACACTCCGGTGGAGGCCCTTGATGGTGTGTAGTGGCTCGCTCTTCTCCCCTCTCCCGTCCAGAATGTGTATCAGCGGCTTCTCGGCCTCGGACACGGCGAGTAGTGGTAGTGAGGCGCCCTTCTTATGGACCCAACACACACACCTCGGGACGAACTCGAGCGGGATCATAGCGAGCAGATCGAAGGTGATGACATCGAAGATCTTGATCGACTTGTCGACGCCGGCGGTGGCGAAGTTGCGGCCGTCGGCGCTCACAGAGACAGAACGGATATCCCCCTGGTGGGCCTTAAACTCCTTGACGAACTCGATGCCCTGTGCGACCTTCTTCCAGAACTTGACGACGCCGTCGACCGATGCCGTGATCAGGAACTCGGTAAGTGGGGTCCAGAGCACGAAGGAGAGCTGCTCCTTGTGCATGAGTGACTTGGAGTAGCGCGCCGATGCGGGGAGGGCCGACGTGTATAGCTTCTCGTACGGCAGCACGCGTCGCTTCTTCTTGGGCGCTTGCGACGGCAGCTGCGGGCCCATGTCACTGTTGGAGGAGCTGTCTGCAGAATGTCAGCAAAGTCAGGTCTCCTCCATTCCAGAGCCTGGAGCTGTACTGCCAGGCCGGACCACCTACCATCGTCATCTTGGGCGGCGAAGTCGGCATGACTTCGCTTGCCAGACTTGACATCGTCCTCTGAAGCGTTTGTGGACATGCTCGATCGCCGGCTCGTGCCGCCTGAACACCCGGAGGAGGTCTCGATGCGGCAAAGCACGGTTGTCTGTCTTTTGAAGACCTGGGCCCTGAGTTCAACGTATGGAGCCGTTCCGGCGTGGGCGCGGTGTCGAATCTGGGATTATGCTTTTCGTCTTGGGGGAATTTCTGCGACAGCAGCAAGAAGCCAGAGCTGGAGCTCGAGTGATTGGCGCGACGCGTTCCAGGCGGGAACTAATTGAGTGGGGTTCCACACCCACGCCAGGTGGGCAGCCCAGTCGAGATGCTGTTCGTGGACATTGGATCGAATCCCAGTCTAATGCGTGCAGGACAACGCACATTTCCGAGGCTTCGAGTCGAAGCTTCAAAGGGAACCGAACAATTATCAGATATCTACAGATAGATAGTATGAGCGTGTGGGCAGGATCCAATTGTGCAGGCGTGCCTACTCTTTAGCCCAGGTACAGGTTCCAGGGACCAGAATTGCCAGTGTGGGGAACAGCCCTTTCAACAATGGCAATGGGGAATCGAGTAACAACAGCAGCAAAACAGGAAGAGAAAAAAGAGGGGGAAAAAATAGTACATTAAATTGAGGCCGATACTTGTCCGTGACGATATCTTTTGGCACAAAGGTGAAAACGAAGAGATAGGCCCATGAAACTGAGAGCTCGTCCGGGACCCTCAGTCGGCTCGTGGTGTCTCCTGTCAGTGGGGAACACCGAACCCAGAGGCCAACTCATGGCTGGTGCTCAATGCCCTGTGGGTTTGTTCATTGGCTCGATGACGCTGTTCTGATCAATCCTGCAACAAGAGGGTCTAGGTTGCAGCACGGGTGTTATCGAGAATCCTAGATACGAATAGCGTTGACCTACTGGCTACGTGAGTGGAAAACCTCGGCCCGCTCGGATACTTCGCTTGGCCCGAGATATCCTTCCTTCGCTTTGCCCGTCCTTTGCGTCAACGCCCCTCCCTCCTCCTCAAGACAACAACGTCTTCCCTGTAGCTCCGAGAATTCCAACTCGTCAGCCGGCTGCAGATATTCACACACGCCCAACCATGGCTGGAAAACACCGCCTGCAGCGGTTCACCTCGCCTTCCCGTGGCCTGTCCCTCTCACTGCACATCCTTGGGCTTGCCTCCTTCTTCCAGTCCTTCCGCCTCCTGTCCGCCTTCCCGACGCCCGTGAACCAGGCGTATGGCGGGAGCTTCCAGTTCCTGACCATCATCGGCCTGGCGACGGCGACTCTGGCCTTCATCCTAGGCCTGCTGGCCGACCTGACGCTCAGCCCGGCCCTGTTCGTCGCCAAGAACTTTGTTGCAATATGTTCGAGTCCGCTCGAGGCTCTCGTCAGCATCCTCTACTGGTCAATCTTCTTCTACGACAAGACGCTGCTGTATCCCGCCGAGTTCCAGCTCCCTTTCCAGGCGGACTTTGGCTACCACGCGATGCCGGCCATCATGCTCACGGCGGATCTCTTGCTGTTCAGCCCTCCGTGGACCATCAAAGCGAACGGCGCCATGGGTCTTGGCATGGTCCTGGCCTTTCTTTACTGGGGCTGGATCGAGCACTGCTTTACCAAGAACGGATGGGTATGTGGATCGAGAGCGATGTTGAGGCGTGATACGGTTCTGGTACTAACACTTTCGGGTCGGCAAACACAAAGTACCCGTACCCGATCCTCGACATTCTCACGACGCCCCAGCGTGCCGTGTTTTTCGCCTTTTGTGCCAGTCTCGAGGCCGGGAGCACCATGGCCCTGAAGTGGCTGTATGGAAAGCTGAACGGGGTTGAAGATTTCAAGCGGGAGGCTCTCAAGCCCGCAAAGCTAAGCTAGAAAGCCTCGGCAGCCGCGCCCTCACGGGTATGCTATTCTGCCCCCTGAATGTATTGGGCTCAGGGGAAACGAGTAGCACGTGGTGATCCATGGCGGGAATGACGCAGGCAGTCGCAGCTCCGGCGGCGCCCGTGCATCCGTAAATACTTGACCCGATTTTGCATGTATGTATCTGCGTCTCTTTGGCCTGCAACTCGACCACCAGCTGAGTCATCCATCAATTTTCCCACACACTTTTTTTCTTTCGAGTCACACCAGACTGTGCAGAAAAATACGACTTATACGGTATCAACGAGGCTGGACTCGCCTGGTCTTGTCAGAAGCAATAAAAACGACTTGAGCAACCCCTTGGCTGCGGTAATCTTGGCAAGATACACGGCTTCTGGTTTTGACCGCGTCTGTCCGTTCATCCACCCCTTGCACGTCTCACCCAGAAGAGACCCCATCATGTCGGTAGGCTCAACCCACGCGTGGATATGCCCAGCCCCTGTTCCCCCCACTTTGTCTTCGTCTGCTGATACCCGACTTTGATATCTCCATTGTCTTCTCGCCCTTGCAGTTCTTCATTGAGAACAAGAATGTTGGCAACAAGGCCGAGAGCGAGGACTGGAGAGGTACATTCCGCCTGCCTACTACTACCTTGATGTCGCGTTGCTGGCTGCTGGCCGCTGGCTGACACAGGAAGGGTGGGAGCAGTCCGTGGATACAACCCCCTGACATCCCCTGACCTCCTCCAGCATGAGATCAGCCAGACGCCAGAGTCCAAGCGGACGGTGCTGCAGAGCAGGGACGAGGTCGTGGCCGTGGTCAACGGCACCGACGACAAGCAAAGGCTCCTCGTCATCATCGGCCCGTGCTCAATCCACGATCCGGACGCGGCGCTGGCCTACTGCGACATGCTCCTGAAGGAAAAGGAAAAGCACAAGGACGAGCTCCTGATCGTCATGCGCTCGTACCTGGAGAAGCCGCGCACGACGGTCGGCTGGAAGGGCCTGATCAACGACCCGGACATGGACAACAGCTTCAAGATCAACAAGGGCCTGCGCCTGTCCCGGCAGCTCTTCGTCGACCTCACGGGCCGCGGCATGCCCATCGCGAGCGAGATGCTCGACACCATCTCGCCCCAGTTCCTGGCCGACCTGCTCTCGGCCGGGGCCGTGGGCGCGCGCACGACCGAGAGCCAGCTGCACCGCGAGCTCGCCAGCGGCCTCAGCTTCCCCGTCGGCTTCAAGAACGGCACCGACGGCACCCTTGGCGTCGCCATCGACGCCATCGGCGCCGTGCGCCACCCGCACCACTTTTTGTCCGTCACCAAGCCGGGCGTCGTCGCCATTGTCGGCACCGTCGGCAACGACGACTGCTTCGTCGTCCTGCGCGGCGGCAAGAAGGGGACCAACTACGACCCGGCCAGCATCGCCGAGGCCCGCGCCGCCCTGCGCGCCGCGGGGCTGCGCGAGCGCCTCATGGTCGACTGCAGCCACGGCAACTCGCTCAAGGACCACCGGAACCAGCCAAAGGTGGCCGCCGTGCTGGCCGAGCAGATCGCCGCCGGCGAGACGGCCGTCATGGGTGTCATGATCGAGAGCAACATCGAGGAGGGCAGCCAGAAGGTGCCCAAGGAGGGCAAGGCCGGGCTCAAGTACGGCGTCAGCATCACCGACGCCTGCATCGGCTGGCAGGACACCGTCGCCGTCCTCGACGGCCTGGCCGCCGCCGTCAAGAAGCGGCGGGAGGTGCTCGGCGCGGGCAGCTCCAAAGAGGTCGGTGCCTTCTCTCCTGTTTTTTTTTTATCGCGCTCCTTTTAACTTCATTTGACTTTGTCTCCGAGCAAAAACAAAAACTTGTAGTATGCTTTCGTTCACGCGTGCTAACTCTCTTGATTCCCAGTGACCCTACCCCCTTGCGTATCCGCAATATATCCCCCCGAACTCTTGATTTCCCAAGCAACAACCAGTTCTCCATTTAGTGAATGGGGCGTTCAATTTTACAAAACAGTTAGAAAAGGTCCACTAAGCACTCCCCAGGAGGCTAGGCTATTCAAAACCCGGTCAAGTAAGGTATGGTAAGCGGGGACACGCATAGAGTCCAGTTCCAGCTCCTCGATGAATTTCAAAATGCAGTTTCAGTTGATGAGTGCCTCCCGTTTGCTTAGGTTGGGTAGACCGATGGGCTCCGAGACGAGGCGTTTTAAAAGTTGTGAAGAAACAAGATCCGTGAGTTTAATGAGGACAATAGCCTTGTACATACATCTGGGTCTATGCCATAAAAGTGCCAATATGATGCGGTTGCCCGGCTCTCCATACCAAATGACGCCACAACCTCCACCCGCAGACACGCCCGCCTCCCCTTGTCCCTAGCTTTCTCTCATCCCAGACCCGATCTAGTTCTTGATCGTCCAGAGCTCTCGCGACCAGCCCGTCTCCCGGTACTTCTTGGAGTTGGGCCCCTGGCCCTTCTTGAGGTCCGTGGTCCAGATGGCCAGCGCCTTGCTGCACGACGCAAACGACTCGAGTAGCTCCTTCATCCTCCCGGTCCGCACAAGAAGAGCTGCCAGGTCGGAGTTCTCCTCGGCGATATGCGCCGCCAGATCCATGCACTCCAGTAGGAAGTCGCGCGTCGAGCTTGTGCCAGCCGCATGCAGCGTGCTGGCATATCCAATCACAAGTTCTGGGAGGTAAGTCTCGCGGAGCTGCGCAAACTCCTTTGCGTCTGTATTCAGGGCAGAGTTGACAGTCAGCGTCATGGTAACCAAAGACATAATGGGCCGGTATGGCAAAGGAAAACGGCCAACATACAATCCTGCGTCGTCATGAGCCAGTCCTTGAGCAAAGGCTTCATGAAGCCCCTGATGAGCTTGGCGTTGTGGCTCAGAGACTGGGCAATCTCCCTGTCTCGGGATCCGTCACTATCGACCATGTTAGCTCCGAATGTCGCGGAATGCCCGGTTACAACTGGAGAACTTGACTTACTCTCTGCTCTCGCGGGTGATTTGAGCTGTTGTCTCAAGGCAGTCCATCGCCCTCACTGCGCACTCGAGCTCGAAGAAAGGCCGGGCAAGTATTGCCATCTGCTCTCTTGGAACGTCGGTGTCGCCTGCCCCATCCTCGTCCATGGCATCGAGACTTTCGAGCCTTGCCGCGGAGAACATATCATCCCACCAGGACGTCTCTTCCTCATCCTGGATGGGCAAGCCAGCCTTGTGCCTCAGGATGTCGGCGCAAGAAACACGCTCCGCGAACGAGCGGGCGGCAACTAGCCGCTTGTGTTCTAAAAGGCGCTGTTTGTTAGCCTGGAGTTCGTGGGAGCACAGGGAGCCGCCAGGGCAGCAGTTCATGAAAATGCACATACTCAGAAAGTATTTGTAGATCTTGACGCCGTAGTCGAATGTCTCTGGAATCAGGCCAGTGACAAGCAGTAACCATTCCATGGAGCGGATAAGGTACTCGTCAGGTGCTGCAATCTGGCTGTCTTCGGGGTTGCTCGGATCGTTGCCGAGGACGCCAGGGTTGATGATGCGGCCGTACTTGAGCGAGGGTGGGCCGTTGGCCAATATCTTGAAAGGGTGCCTCTCTGTATGCAGCAAAGGCGAGTCAAGAATAGCCTCACCAATGTCCTCAAGATACAGCTGTGGTTGTATCTTGACGAATGTGATCACGTCGTGGCCCATCTTCTCCATGAGCGTCAGCATACGCATCTGCATCTCCCGATCTGTGATGTGAATCAGGTTGCGGCTCATGCACGTGTATCGTCTCTCGCCCACCAGCTTTGCGCAGTACAGTGGCACGAGTTCATCCAAACCAGCCAGGCGCAGATAGCTGATGTAGGCGGCGAGAATATGTTCCCTGGTCGGCAACCTCCTGTCGGCCACCGGCCCCGCGTGCGTGGTTGCCTCGAGCGCGGCTACCACGATGAATATGTGACTCAGCGCACGGATCCAGTGGTGTTCACTGAGTTTCGCGTATCGGCTGGGGACTGAAGGTACCGAGGTCGGACCCAGCTGAGGGAGGAGCCTTGATAGCGCCTCGCCTGGCTGACTGCTCGTTTTGGCCTCGGCCGCGAGGACATCGCCCTGCTTTTCTAGGAAGTCGGCTAAGGTGTTGGCCAGAATGGACGCATGTAGTGACTTTGCCGGTGTCTGCGCTTCTGGCGTAATCTGCGGGCGCGTTTCCAGACTATCCAGATAGGACTTGGTACTGTAGCCGGCCCGGGTAGGCTCCACGTTGGCGAATTGGCTGAGAGTCGACATGGAATCTGGTGACAGAGACTCGGAGTTGCACTTTTCCACCAGGTACTGATCGTATTGACTTCGCAGCTGGCAGTTGTACTGGGCGAAAACGTAGTCGTCCCATGACCGGGAAACGGCCTCGACACGTTCCCGGTCACCGGACAAGATGCCGTAGACGGCACGTTCGTAGTCGTCTGTGCTGCCCTGGCGAGCCACCTCCAAGCACATCCGCTTCCACAGAATGGCCGGGATAGGATCATTGCCGAGTGAATTGACCACTCCGTCCAGTGACATGGGCAGACCAGACATGCTGACGGCCCTCCAGGACTCGGTACGTTCTTGACACCAGTCCCTGATATCGCTCATGCTCCGGCCCCGCCGCAGTAGCTCGAAGCAGCCGAGCCAGATGGCGCGCTCAAAGTATTCGTCCTGCGGAGCCAGCCGCCGCTGTTGCCTCACCACCACATCTGGGTCAAGCTGTGTAACCATGGGGCCATTTGCTGTCGTCAGATTCGAGCCGGTAGAGTCGGCGGTCTGGGGGTCGACAGGACCGGACGCGTGCATGTGCGTCTTGTACATCTTGATGGCGGTCCGTGTGTGAAGCCAGCCGTGGGCGACAATATCTCCGCGATCGGCATTTCGCTGAAGGTCCTTGACCAGCTCGTCGATGTCGGGTCGCACACGGGCGCTCTGTTGTAACCACCCCAGAACTGCCAAGTTCTCCTGGGCCGAGGGTACCGCCTCGAGGAATTCAGACCACCGAGGGCCATGGGCCGGCAACTCGTTGGTCTTGGGCTTCTCCCCATACCTCAGGGGCAGCAGGCGCTTCAAAAGATCCCAGGTCTGAGCCTCTTGCTCCCAGAGCTCTAGCTCCGCCTTCGGATTCGTCGCTCGGGATCGCTGATCGGCACCGTCGTCCATGTCCATGTCGTTGTCGTCGGAGTGACCATGCTGCCACGAGGGGGAGTTGCCGCGCGCGGATGCGGCGATCCGCAGCCGTTCTCGCAGTGCCTGTGCCCGCTCGTTGACGTATTCGGAATAGCTCTCGATCAACTTGAAAATCCGGGCAAGCTTCTGCGAGGTCGTGCCTGATTCAAGGGTGCAGTCGTCGAGATATTTCGCAAACACCTCGACCTCTTCGTCGTATGGCACCGTAGTCTCCTTGAAGGTTTCTTCGAGCATCGCCATCTCGTCGTCACCGTCTGTCCCAGCGTTAGTTCGAGTATACTATCGAGCTCCGACGGCCGGTAATGATCGGTGGCGTGTAGAACGAACCTAGGTCGACGCCGGCATATGAAGGGTCGCTGCTGATGGGACCCTGTAGTGACTGGAATTGGGTTAGCAAAATGCTAATATGGGCCAGGAATTCTCGAGCGATCTCGTGGAATGCTCCTACCAGTGACGGAGCCATGGTTGCTGAGATTCCTGCGCTGGAGGCAGCAGGTTAGGCCGCGAGCCGCTCGGTTCTCAGGTAGCGCCAAAGAGGTATGTACCAAAATTGAACTTGCGTCCAACGAGCTTGCTTCACATATCGGACTCGTCGAAGATAGGAAGGCTCGATCAGCGCTGGCGGCAGCGGGGCGGCCACAGATCGCGCGCGTGGTTCGGGAATCGCCGTCGTCGTTCGGTCTGGGGGGGTGATAATCTTTTTGCTAGGCGAACGCGAAAGTCGCGATGCGCAGCTTCCAAATGCAGCAGTTCAGTTGCTAGGGGCCACAAGCTTCCTTGAAGTTGGTGTGGATCCGCTTGCTCCCGTCTGTGCGGGCCTCTGTGCTGCGGCTCGGTGTTGCTTTGGCGAGAAATTTCAAAGTTCAAAGTACCACAAGTACCCGATTTTACTGGGGCAATCGCCGGGGCTACCCCTCCCAATTCTTGTGCCGCCCATAAAATCTTTCTTGGTGGACCGCGGTTTTTTTTTTTCTTTTCCTTCTTCTTCCCAACACAAATGTCATCGGCTTTCAAATTAGAGTCTCGGAGCAAGAACCTCAATGCTTGCTCAGGTCCAAAGGGCCTCTCTGCGCGCTAATGAATGCCTAGAGGAAACATGTGCTCTCCCTTCAAGTTGCCCGACGCATGCATTTGCGATGTTCGGGTGGACATATGTTATGGACGAGTGATACAAACTGCAAATACCTTGGCCGTTTCTCGCGGTGAGAGCGGCTGGCTGGGCTACCTATGAATCATGAATGGCACCGTGGCCACCGTCTATGCCTAGCTTGAGCCTGGCCTTTTGGCCGCCTCTTGTCTCTGCTTCATTTTGAGCCTCAGCAGATCCAGCGTGGGGCAGCTCACAGATGATGCCTGTTCACCGTGCTTGTCGTAAAATGCCTTGCAGCACTCGTACAGTGCGTCAATGGCCATCTGGCATTTGTCCTCCTTGTATCCGTTCTTTGTGAGGCAGTCTAGACTCGGGCATCGTCAGCGGGTGCTAGAGGCCAGTCGAACTAGCGTAGACGATGAAGTCTAGAGATACCTTGTATCGCGCACTATCATGGGCGAGACGCAAACAACCACAGGACCCAGCAGGTCAGCATGGAAATGAGATATTGGCTTCAATGTTCATGCTATTGACGGAGGAACAAACCGCTCGGGGGTGGCAAGGCGGAGTAGCAGAAAGATCTTTCTGGAGAGACTGGCGCTCTGTCAGTCCGTGTTTTGTCGAGATTGGAACGGCGACTAGTGATGGGGAGCCTACCATGATGGGTCTCTGTAAATCAGCTTTTACTCGCCCCAGCGGTCAGTTCTTAGTTAGGGCTTCTGTATGCAAAGTTGGTCAGGAAGTCTGCTGTGTTCATGCTGAGCATTCCACTGCCACAGGACTCAGTCGAGGTGGATTGAGCTGGTCGGTTCAAGGCGGCCAAATGATGTCACAATGCACGCTGAATGAATTTTTCGGCAATATCCGTTGAAAACGCCGTCCTGGATGTCACCATCCTTCCGCCTCAAATCTTGTTGTAAATCGCCGTCCTCTTTTCCTTCGGTATCCATTGGTCTTACTATCATCGTCTTCCTCTCCAAATTCTCTGCTCCTTTGGTGCCCCTTTCCATACTCACCTTTTTCCATCGTTCGATCCCTTCTTCGTTCCCACCGCCAGATTCCCTCAATACACAGCCCTATTACATGTCTATAGCCGAAAGTCGCCTGTCTTCGGGCCAATCGCATCTCCTTCGTGACCAGATTAGCAATTCTCCTCTTAATCTCGACAGGGCCACCGAAGACCTGACTTCGAAGGACATCTAGATCGGGAAATTTTAGATTCGATAAGCGTATGCAAATGGGAGCACCATCAGCTTACATACCTTTCTGTACATTCTTGAATCTGGCCAGGACCAGGCAGTGTCGTCCACCATGAGAGCTTGCCAGGTCACGGGCTTGGACTGGCCAATGCGCACGAGTCTTCCAAAGCCCTGCAGCATTGTGTTTGCGTTGGACATACGGGTGGCGATGACGCCATCACTGCAGGCGTGCTGCAGATTCAGACCGGCGCTCAGGGTCGTGGTGCCCAGTACGAGGGCGTCCAGTTGTGCGCGAGGAGAGTTCTAGTCCGCCAGCACGAATTCCCTCGTAGCCATCAGCATTTGTGAGTAGATCCCTGAAACCCGAAGGCTGGCTTTGCGGAGGATGTACTCGACGAATCTAAAAACATGTCAGTGCGTGCCTTGTCAGCGAATTCGGGGAATAGGGAACTGAGGTGTCACGTTTGATCCCATGGCGAACCGAGCAGTATCAGCGTTCTCTTCCTCTCCTTCTCTTGCGCAACACGATCTCTAGGATGCGAGTGGCGAGAGGAGATTCTGCAAGAATGAAGTAGAGTATTGCCTGACGTGAAAGTGGGAGGAGTAAGGTTGGAGTTCTGATTCTCGTAACAAAAAATCCACGACATTGGGCCATCAGTGGAGTATTGTCTACCCTGGGAGACCATCCTCTTCAGCAGTCCGAGCGATTAGGCGACGGTGAGTGAACCCATCTACACTGCCTCCGCAACAATCCCAATCGTGACTTTAAGACGCTTTCTCAGCCGGTGATCCAATTGCAGGTTGACACAATGCAGCCAAGACCTGGTCGATGTCGGAGCTGTCCAAATTGAACATTAGCATGTCGCAACCCTATGATGAAAGACTATGTGGAGGCTTACAGTCCATGTTTCCGATATCTGCTAATGTCGCTGCTGGGGCCCGAAGAGCGTGGAGCGGCAGGTCTGGGTGGATGATTGCGCCGTTCAATCCACGCGCGATCGCATTTGTCTCACTACCATCCACTGGTCAATCACAAATCTTCCATTGTAAAATTCGATCAATTACATACTTGGCCATTGCTCGCGTTTCTAGCCGTCCAATTCGCGTCTCGACCTGTTCAGCTCGCGCCTCCATCCGCTCCAATCGATCTCCGAAGGTTCGGAACGCTTCTTGCATATCATTGAGGATGGACTGAATGCCGGTAAGGTTTGTTGCTGTAGCGTTTTCCACATCGGCCATGGCTGAGATTTGTTTGATGTACACACTGGTGAGGTTAGCTTGATGTGCGCTGAGGAGGTTGGTTCGATGTGTGCGCTGGTAAGATTGGTTCGATGTGCGCGCTGGTGAGTCTGGCTTGGCGTGGCGCGCATCCAAACAAAAGCATGTTAACAGCCATGGCTTTACAGAAGCGGCAAAGTGAAGTGAAGGATACAAGCCAACAGCCTGGTGAGGCATGAGCCTTTTTATCTTCCTTCCCATCCGTAAGGAGGGTTTCCCAAGAGCATCCATCCTTGGCGAAAGCGGCGAGAAGCTTCGCATCACTCTCGCGGCGGAATTGATGACCTCTGCTCAACATCTCGGATTTGTGGTGGCAGTTCTCGGTCGAACGGTGGATGCGCTCCCGGGCTTCCTGCTCCGTTTCTCCCGATAGTCTGGATTCATGTGCAAGTTGCGGCTTGACCAGGTTCCCTTGTGTGGCCATGAAGCCAAGAAGTCCTCCGGTTCCGCTTGACATCCCGATCAATCCATCTTGGGACTCTGAGCCGGGACCGACCGTTCTGGGTTGCTTGAAGCGATCTTCCTTGTTATGCGACTCGATTATTTCCTCGATGGCTTGTGGAGAGATACGAGGGATACCGTCGGATATGTCTACGGTGGTGGATGTGTACGAGTGTAAACGGTTCTTTTCCAGATGGAACGGCTCGTATTTCCGAAATGCGCTCAGAGAGATCAGGCACAGCTGGTTCCTGTAGGCTTGGTCAAGATCTTTGGGCTTGGGGAAGTCCGGGGCGGGTCGAAATCACTTTTGCAAACGAGCCAAAGTCAGTTGAGTATTGGCCGCCTCCTTATCGGCGGCGCTATGCCGGTCCTCTTTCGCTGGAAAGACCAGTGGGCGGAAGCGGTAGAGCCGCCACGCCTCCCCACCTCGGCGGCAAGGAAGAACATGAGGTGGGCAAGAGCCCGACGCCAATCACCCGCGGCGAAACCACCGCTGGCACCGTCGCCTGAAGGTTTCCTGGTTTACCGCAACGAGCCAGGTTTTCGCGTTGTCAACTTTAGGAGATACCGGAAGAGAGTAACCACCACGGTGGCTTCCCAATGCGGCTAAGCGCGCTTTTCTTCTGGCAGATGCTCTGTGTTCGGGATATCCCCTTTGAGGATTAGGGGCTGCCTCGGCAGCGAGCCCTCCACGACGGCTTCTGCGATGACAGCCATAAGGCTGGCACTGCCGCGGCACTGGAAGAGGTTGTGTATGGAGGTAAAGGCATTGGGAAAGTTGCCTATGCTCGTGGGCTGGGCAGACCGCCGGATCGCCAAGGGGGAGAAGATGTCGGCGACTATATCGAAAGTCGACGTTTTCGTTGGATTGATAGAGTGTGCCAGCGTAAGACCGGGGATTGAGGACACCCGGGCTTTTCTGTAATCGTCCGTCTGAGCATCCTCTGGGGAAACCGCCCGTGGCTCTCAGTATTTGAAGTGCCAAGAGTCATCCTCGGTCGGGTACCAGCGAGGCTTTTTAAAGCCTGGTATGTGGAGTAGATTGGGGTGTCCCGCGTTCAGTGGGAGACTATGGCCGACGACGATTCTGCTCTTGCTGCCAAGCTTGCTCCTCTTCACCTTTTCCCACTTCTCCATGTCATCCGGAGAATCTCCGAACTTGACATCCTGGTAGGATGGCTTGGGAAAGAGCAGCGGTGTAATCTCGTGTGTCTTGTCGGCGTCGAGGTACAGGGTATGCCGCGCCGCGCTCTCAGGCGCGGTGTATACCAGGCCGCCATTACCAAGATTCTCGGGCTCCGAGTGATTTATACCCGTATCTATAAGGGCGCTTCAGCCTTTTCCCCGTCTAGCTCCTACTTAGCAGCGCTCCCTTGGAGTGACAGCTTGCGCGTCAGTTGCGCGCCGCTTCGGCTCAGGGCCGCTAAGCTCAGAGCTGCCGTCGTCTTTGCGCTTCTCGGGAGCCATGTTGATTAGGCATCTCGGTAGCTGCTATGGTGGGTACGCAGGTAGCTATGAAAGTTCGGGATGGATGGTAGAAAGTGCAGACGGACGGGCTAGAAAATGCTGGATAGATGAAACTGGCTGCTCCAATGAATCTGAGGTTGAAGAGGTGGAGAAAACGAGGCACTGTAGAACTATGGTAGCCGGCACAAACGCGAATCCCGAGTCGCTTGTATGTGTTGATAGATCGATGATTGGTAAAAAAAACGACGTTTTGCAGATGTGATATGGAGGTTAGGCGTAGAGATGAGAGTAGGTGTCTAGGATGGTTGGGAAAGGAAGTCTAAGGTTTGAGTAAGGTAGGAAATAGAAATAGATATAAGGATGGAGGGAGGAGACCAGATGTTGGATGGGATATTTCTGGGTTGGGAATGCTGTTTATGATGATGTGTAGACGGCCACGGCAGGTGTAGAAGAGTTGGTTTTCTGACGTCTGGAAGAAGCGCAGATTGATGTTAAGACACCTGGGTCCGATATCTCATGAAAGATGACCCAGCAAATATCTGCGGGAGATTTGGAAAGAAAAGAGAGTGCGTAAAGATTTAAAAGAGCGAATGTGGTTTAAGAAGCGGAGGGTAATGTTATTTCGTGTAGATTAATTGCTTGGAGCGGCGTTGGGCTGTTGTCGAAGCTTTGCCGGTTTGGATCAACACAAGCAAAAGCTGATCGAGGGACTGGGGGAGGTACGAAGTGGGAATATTGGATCTGGGCACAATCGGTGGAATATGGTGGGAGAAGGCAGGGAGGTTTGTAGTGAGTTCAAGATACAGCTAGTGCGATCGGCAGGGCTCAGAAATTGGGTTGGATCTACGAGGTAGACCAAGGTGAAAGAGAAGGTAGGTTGCACATACGGGTTGGGCCGTCAAGATGAATGAAGTGAAGAGCAGGATTAGGCAAAAGATAAAGGGCACGGTTGAGATGGAGTTGCATTGGAAATCTGGGAGGTCAAGAAGCTGTCTGCGGTACGTTTGGAGATCGAGGAAGGAGTGTAGAGATCACGGCGCCCGAATTTGTGACGACAAGAAAAGAGTCGGTGATGCCTCTGCTGCCCGAGCGGTATGGTAAGCGGAGATTGAGGCCTAGGTACCTAGATAGGTAGATAGGTAGGTACGTAGTAGGTAGCTAGGTATGTATCGAAGATGGAAGGAGGGTGATGAGGATGGAAAGAAATATTTCGAGGAGTTGCTGGCTGTAATAAGCTTTTCCCGGGGGATCTCGACTGAAGGCGAGAAAATAAAACCCAGTGAGCGTATGCCATAGAGACGGATATCATGAACCCAACGATCAGATCTAGATGGATTGGCAAGCGGTAACACGTGTTCGTCATATCCGACAAACGCTAAATATCCATTCACCTCGCATAAGATATTTCCCAAGACTTTCTGTCTCTTCAGATGTGCCCAGATACATTGCCTGGTGGACATGGTCAACACCCGCAGGCACAGCATCGCGGTTGCTGGTTGTCTCAATTTGGCTCTTGGCCAAAAGCGAGTTTTCACGCATCTTCCACCCCCTCAGCGCCCATCCTATAGGTTAGAAGTGTCGGTCAGCACATCTGCCCCAGTCACCGGTCGCTCCGGGTATACCATGCAAAGGGGAGCAAGTTCGGCTTACCGGATGCAAATGCTATAAAATAGCACGCGCCGTTGAAAAGCTGCACGGGAAGGTAGCCACCGCTGCCAGGTGCACGAAGGCTCAGCCCGATAGCCCCGGCAAACGTGGACGGCAGGACGAGTACCAGCCACATCAAGGACAATGCCGACGGCAGGAGTGAGATATTGACGACCTCTGCACATATAGGAGCAGCGGTTGCCCAAAAGATGCCGCTGAAGACGCCCATAAGGCTAAAGATGATGACCCCGGCGAAGAACTTGCCCGCGAAGATCCACAGGAAGAACGAGCTAAGACTTGCGACGAGTGTCCCCAGGCCAGCAACATTGATCCTGCCATAGCGGTCCGAGGCCAGACCCACAAGCGGGCGTCCAAGACCTTGGGAGACTGTAGATGGATATTTCAAACACAGTCAGTCCACGATCCTGCGCCTGTTGGCAACGTATTTTTTCTTGGCAGGTAGAAACTCACGATTGAACATGGCAGCGACGATGGCCCCCTGAGTGGCGGTGAAGCCGACAGTCTGGCAGTAGTCGGCCAGAAAGAAGATCACGGACAGGTAGCCAAAGGAAGAGAAGCAGGCCCATGAGAGGAGCATGCAATACTCGGGGCGCTTGAAGAGGTCCCAGTGGAGGGCGATGTGGACGGCGCCAACGTGCGCGTTCCGGTCCCGGATGAGCAGCGTGCAGACCCCCGCGACGACGAACGTGAGGGCGGCGAGGATGCGGAAGGTCCAGGGAAGACCGAGGTTCTTGATCATGGCATTCGTGCCCATGGAATAGATGAGGCCGCCGAACCCGGAGCCGGCGGCGGCGATCCCGTTGGCCAGGGAGCGGCGCTTGGTAAACCACTGTGAAGGGATGCCGACGGACGCGACGAAAAGGAAGCCCATTCCTGCCCCGAAAGCGATGCCCTGCGTAAGGATGAGGTGCCACATTTCCGACGTGAATGACGCGCCGATGAAGGCGGACCTGGGGAAGAGCGGGGTGGCAAAGGTTAGCAAAGGAAATAAAGACTGTATCCCAGTATGGCATATACGGTAAGCGAGAAGGCCGTGTAGCCAATGGGGGTCACAGTATAGGAGCTGCCTGAAACATATAGAGTAGAAGATGGAGGTATAGGGGAAGAAAGGGGGAGGTGGGTGACCCTTACGTCTGGATCACAACGCCCAAAGACATGACTTTTTTGGTGCCATACTTTCCAATCAGATATGTCCCAGAAGGTGAGACAAACAAAGCTGAAGACGGATAATTTGTTTAGCTCCTAGTCTCGGCCAGCCATATCGTGTCGCTTTGGGGTGCAAACCCAGACACTCTGTTGACCCGGTTGATACCAAGCTTACCTATTGACACAGAAAGCCCCCCAACAAAGGCATAAGCTATTGGGCTTGCCCCGACAAACGATCCTGTCCGTAAATAGTAGGCGAGGAACACGGCGAAGGACTAGGAATGTTAGCGAGGTTTTCTTGAACATCTAGAAAGGAGGGACATACAGAGTTAATACCCCAGGTATGTGCGTTGAGCATGTGCACCGCCAATACCACCACCCTGTGAAGTTGTCAGTGCCGTGATCTTGTCTCTAGTCTTCTTTATTGCCGCAGCCATGCTCACCAGCCATATCCACCCTCTTTGAACGGCTCCTCATCGTCGGAGGACGGGTGCGAAAAAGACTCGGCGGGACTGGCGGCACTCTGCTTCTTTTCGTTAGGTCCAGGGGGGTCGGCGATATCGACTACAAATGCACCTAGGTCCGCAGCTGCACCCCGGCCGGCACCGACCAGACGGACCGGAGATTCCGGTGTGGGAACTACCGACATTGCCATTCAGATGTTGAGCGGAAGAGTGGGATGACAACGGATCGAAATATACTTGATTAAAACATAAAACGAAAGGGCAGGGATGGCGTTGGTCTGCTCTGTGGGAATCCAAAAGCAAAAAAAAAAAAAGAAAAAAGGGGCACAGGAACAGTTTACGGGCAGATATAGTGACAAATGGAAGGCAGTGAGTGAATAAGCAACATTCACTTTGGGCCTCAGTCAGATGGCGGGATCGTGCCGAATTTCTGCGGGTATCTCGTCGAAGCAGGTAAGAAATCGGTACGTAAAACGACGCCCTTCTGTTGACAGACCGCAGACTGGCAAAAAAGAAGNGCCGCCCCCGCCCATAGTAGCATGTAGCATGCCCACGGGGCAGCGGCCGGGGGTT